AGTGAGCGCAGCGCCCATAGCAACCACTGACTCGCGCTGCTACCTGGTGCTCCCGAGGTGTTTGTCGCGCTGGAAACGGAGCGTCTCTGTGAGCTTGTATCACTGGTGATGTTTGTACCTGGAGAGCACTATGTGGTGCGCATCAGGCACAATCTTCCTCAGCCTGATTGAGTAGTATTCAAGCTCAACTGATGAGGGGTGGATTCCCCGAAACACTGTGCACTGAGCAGGGAGTGGTGCTTTCTTGCAGGTTTGCCGAGCGGACGGCCTGGTATTTTTCTTGTGTGCTGCAGACGGCAGGCGGGAGTCAGTAAAGTGTTGGTCAGTCGGCAAGAAGCGCGAGCTCCAACGTCTGCATGTGCGAACTGTAACGGTACTTATTTTGGGCAGTGTGTTTATCAGGCTTGACTTGACTTCAACAGGAGTCAAAAAGATGAAGGGGGTATTTATTTTGGCCAGGTACTTAATTTATAGTAAAGAAAGGGACCATGGAACTACAAGTTACGCTATAAGGCCACACTTTGTTTTTTCTATGTTTCTCGTCGGCAAATTTTAACAAAAGGTACGCGGGCGGGCGGAAAAAAAACAAAAGCCAAGGAAAAAAACAAGAACAATTTCTACTGAAAACTGTATACATTTTACAATGTACAATGTATATGCGTGATTCATACAAGACACTGCGTATACCATGTATACAGTACTACATTGTACAATCATGTACATGTAGTCCCATACATGATTGCACTACATTATCACATCAGCCCACGAATATCAGGCAAACTGCAATGTCAATGAGAGCATAAAGTTTGATTACGAGATGGCGAAGAGAACATACATTTATCTGCTATCGCATCAACAAACGTTTCCCACTCGTCATTAATTTTTGGTTTTGCTACTTCAACGTTCTTGTGTCCGCTTATCAAACTCTTGTCTCCGCTTATCAAACTCTTGTCTCCATGCTGCTCATCTTTTCCTTGCCATGCGTCTATTGCTTGGATTTTCTGCCTATGACATCGTTCCACAGACGCCAGTTGCCGCGGAACTCGTCCGACCTACTGTTCCTGGGACCACGAGGCTCAGCTCAGCCAGTGAACGACTGAAAGCTTCGTCATGACAGCCTTCATCGCAGAGAACGGACGAGGAGCGCTCCTTTGCTGCATGCTGTGGTGCAAACGTTTACGATTATTGATTGATGCATCTAGCTGCTGCAGCATGTGCAGCGTACATACATGTACACATGTACGTAGTATGAACTTTTTTTTTCTTCCGAAATTTCTGAAAACCTACGCGGGCGATGACGAGAAACATAGAAAAAACAAAGTGTGGCCTAATGTCCACTAACACCATTAGTTACTAAACAATCAGCTCATGCGATAACATGTGAAGGTTATAGTTACATGTATAGGGATATTTAATGGCACCAAATGATATAGTTCCAATATCATCACACATGCACTGAGGTGTTTGTGGACATTGTAGCGTCACTTGTACTTGCTTGGTCCTCCTCTTCACTATAAATTAATCCTTGGCTCTCCATCTGAGGTACTTAATGACGGACTTTTACGGTAGCTTTGCTCAGAGTATCCCCAGTCGCACTCATCATAATTCCACGATGCACTCGCTTTACAACGTTCTTTTTAAAAGACGTCTCTGATAGGATAGTGTGATGCGTGCCCTTACCACACCGATGTGCTCCACAGCATCTTGTATGCTTACAGCACTGCTATCTACGTTAGACCCGATGCTGTCCACAAACTGACGCTGCTCCTGTGCACAGAGTACACACAGTACACACACACACACAATGACAAAGTACACACACAGTTCTGCACTACGTAAAGTTGAGGAACTTAGTGGGTGGGGAAACCCCCGTGAATTTGCGAGTTTGCACTCTAGTTACAGAGAGTTGTCTACGCAGAGTACGTAGGTAGGGCTCTGATATCGGAGGTGCTCCGTAAGTGGTTGAGGTACAAATGTGTGACTTTCTCCCCAGGTCGACCCAGTCGTACACTGTCGTGTTCCGAGTTGCCTAGGGCAGCTACGGGATTCGAAAACTACGTATGGTGGAACACAGATCCGCATGCAGTGTGTGTAAGACTTTCCGTAGATCGACTACGTTTTTAGAACTTTTTACTAACGTAATTAGGTTATTCGGAACCTGGCTAATATGGAAGGCCCTAGACCATCATCAACGTAAGTGGTCACTTTGCTGCAAATCTGTACATGATATCTCAACAGCATCTATTACATTACGGTTGCATCGCGCCAGGCTACTTACTCAATCATCTTACGTACATGTAGAAGCAAAAACAATTTCACGGTTCGCGTGAGACTCGGTTTCTCCATATAGAGGCCGAGTTTTCCGCATCCGTAGGAACGCCACCACCCTTCAAGGATCAAGGCGCAGATGCAGCTCCTAAAGCGGTGGGAGCTGAGTAGATCAGTTCACCAGCATGTGGTCAAAGACCGAAAATCCCATTCACTGCATCCATAAGCAAGACTACCCTTCAAATCAAACCGTACAAATATATTTTCAATTCGCTGCATTTTTCATTTAGTGCAGCATGACGCATATCGGCTAAGGAGAACAGAGCCAGGGTTGCAGTGTATCTGCATAGTGTATTACAGTGGCAATCCAAGGTTTTAGGAATCTAATTTCCTAATATTTTGAAATTCTCCGTTAAGTCCAAATTTGAAAATCAAAGTTTACCAATAGTATTTTCAAAACAAAAACGTTTTCGTTTGGGGGTGGGTGGGTTTTAGGAGTTTAGTTTTGAAAATAATTATTGAATGCACATGGAGAATGCCCAGTTACTTCTGGGTGCCGAAGATTGAAATCAATATTCTCTTGGACTGCGTTTTACCTGCAGAAAGGGTGGGTGGGGGTTGAAAAATACTAAAACTTTTCGTTACGCCAAAACAACCGGTTAACCCGGACGGCCCCAAAGAGACATAGGACTTACTTGAACAGAGGTGGCAAAGGTGTGAATTAACTCATTCAGCTCCGTTACATCCTGGAAAGGACAAACATACGCAAAATAGCAGAAACCATGACCGCCAGCAGAGCCCCAGTGTTCTAAAATGCCGCATACAACTCCTAAAAAAAAAAAAGAGAGAGAGAGAGAGAGAGAGAGAGAGAGAGAGAGAGAGAGAGAGAGAGAGAGAGAGAGAGAGAGAGAGAGAGAGAGAGAGAGAGAGAGAGAGAGAGAGAGAGACAGAGAGAGACAGAGAGAGAGAGACAGAGAGACAAAGAGAGAGACAGAGCGACAGAGAGAGTCAGAGAATGTTGCCCACTTACCTTAAGTAGATTGTTCAAATCTTGCACTTGGACATCACTGCCGCTGGAAATAGGTCCTGGGCTGAGTTGCGTAAAACGATTACCAGCTAGGTTATCGCCATTGAAGGAAGACGAAGACGATTCAATGTCATCACTCAGCATGCTATCCTCCTCACTGTAGAAAAACTGCAAGGAGCCGGTGGACGAGGCAATGCATTGGGGTCGCACATGAGATGAGTTGACGCCGCTGCTGCTATTGCTGCTGCTGCTGCTGCTACTACTACTACTGCTACGGCCACTGGTGGTGACGGTGGTCAGCGGTAGAGTACGCTTGCAGCATTCAGAGTTGTTGGCCCCATGGTGTGCTGGCGTGGATGATGGGCTGTTGCATGTGACACTACTACTGCTACCAGCGCTGGATGAATCACCTGCAGGGCAACAGCATAAGAGAACAACTGGATTGCAGCTGGTGATGGCCATGCCAAGGAATTAGTGACACTCACATCAACTTTCTACAAGGAATGCTTTCGAAGCATTTGGTGTCACTTGTCTGTGCCCCATTAACCCTTTACCGTTTGTACGCACAAATTTCGACCGCTCGCGGTCGATGACTTCTATAGCGCTGGACTGGTTCACCGCAGAGAGCTGGGATTTTCCCTACTGGTAGCCAAGATGTACGCGCAGAGGCTGCCAACGATTTTATTGTGTGGTGTAATATAAAAAATCGCGGAAATCGCGACTTGAAAAATGCGCTTTGGAAAAAGTGCGTACCCTGCGACTTTTGGTATTGCCTGCAGATGTTTTCGACTTTTTGCTTGAGCTGGCCTCGCGACTGTCTGCCCTGCTGTGCAAGCCATGAACGCGGAGCAAGCCCTTTTGCTTCTGGAGACCCTTCCTGACGACCCTGTCGCCACCTCATCCAGCGAAGATGAGTTTGTGGAGCCAGTCGATCCTGTTGACAATATTTATTCTGACGACGACAGCGACGATGACATGGCGAGTGAAAGCAGCGCCAGCGAGAGTGACATGGATGTCACAGACGACGACAGTGTCACTGAGATAAGTGCTACTAATCGTGGAAGGGGACGTGGCAGAGAGAGAGAGAGAGAGAGAGAGAGAGAGAGAGAGAGAGAGAGAGAGAGAGAGAGAGAGAGAGAGAGAGGATTCGGCTGTGGTCACGGTAGAGGTTGTGGTGTACAGATATTAGGTACAGCCAGCGGTGCAACCTACACTAGCCGATATTTACAACACTCGGGACAATACTGACACCGCTGTGACTGGTAAAACTCCTGCATTCCACCCAGAGAACGAACCTGGTATCCACTTACCTGTGGGAGCCACTCAAGTGCAAGAATCTGATTTATTGCATATTGCAACAGTTTGCCCGATCGGCAATAAATCCAAATAATTATTAGGGCTAAATTGTGAAATTTTTGTTCGTTTTCTGGACTTGAAAGTTGTTGCATCGCATTCCTGAGGGTTTTAGTAGTAACTTACTTTCAGAATCACCCTATGTTGTACAAATTAAAAGTGAAAAATAAAGAAGTTATGGCATGAACAATGACGGTCGGTTTTTGCTGTACAAATACCTAAAACGGTAAAGGGTTAACTAAAGGGGATTTCATACTAAGATCAAAACTATATGCTCAACCCATCACCACCATGCGCTCTCAGCCGAGCCAATGCACGCAGCAGAAACACATCAGCACAGCAAGGACACTTCTGTTGACAGATAATGGTTACGCCTCTAGACAGTTTCGCTCCTTCGAGGTCATCAGTAGAGGATGATAAGGATGATAAGAATGAAGCTGAGAGGCTGTGAGAGCGCATGGTGGTGATGGGTTGAGAATGTAACTGTGAAGATCAAAACTGCACAACTTGTGAAAAATGCACTGATCTCATGGCAAAAGTTGTGGATCTATGGAGTTACGATAGTTCGGGTGATTTCCAATGCACCTGCTCATGCATGCATGATGGGGGTCCGCCACATGGACCTTATAGTGTTAACCCATTACAAAGTTCACGCAGCACAGCCAAGTGACAATGTACAGTCACACATGAGCGAGTCACTTGAATTTGTTCTCAACACAAGATGTTCCTCTAGTCCGTACTCTCAAGATAGTGCACAACTCCAGCATGCGCTCTTTCACTTGAATTTCCGCAGGGTTCACTTGTGAGATCCTCAGGGGTGCACAGCGAAAAATGTCAACCCGGCGCTTGAACAAAACGAAATGGCTGCAGCAAGGCGACGTTGCACATTGCGTATTATTATTATTTGTAACATTATTCGCAGCTGCGCTGCTCTCCAGCACTGCGCTGCTCTCCAGCACTGGAGACGTGGTGTGCTTGTCATCGTGCATAGAACGGCCAAGACAGACAGACCCACACAAACACACACACACACACACATAAACACACATACACACAGCGGACTCGTCCACACAAACATGTCCACTCTAGCCTCCAGAACTACGCACACACTGTTGCTACTGGCGAGTTGGCCATGGAGTCACACACATACCGATAGTCACAGGTGCCACACACAGCTGCTTGCTTATACTGTGAAGCATATCCACTGCTTCCTGCAAGCGTACTCCACTATCCAAGAAACGATCCTGGAAAAACGAGAGAGAGAGAGAGAGAGAGAGAGAGAGAAGAGAGAGAGAGAGAGAGAGAGAGAGAGAGAGAGAGAGAGAGAGAGAGAGAGAGAGAGAGAGAGAGAGAGAGAGAGAGAGAGGGAGCGTGTGTGTGTGTGTGTGTGTGTGTGTGTGTGTGTGTGCGTGTGTGTGTGTGTGTGTGTGTGGCCACAAACGCTGATGTCTGGCTCAATAAACGATCCAACTGCAACAAAAACCATTCTGGCTTTCGAAAGAAACAACCCCCAACCCAACAGAAGCATGAGTAATGTCTGTTGATAGCCAGTGCAGGCTAAATTTTATTTTTCAAGGAAACCCTTCGAAAATGGTACCAATCGGTTCAGCATGGCATTTTCATTCCTCCTGCAAAGTTTCAGCTGATTTGGAGTCATGACAAGGACGCTATGGCGATTTGAAGATCGAAAAACTTCAGTTTTGTTTGTCAAGAAGAAAGGCCATGATCGCACACAAATCATACAACCCGTGTGGCACAATGATTTTTGAACGAAGCGCGAAGTAGATCCGCGGACCCGTACTTCACGCATGCACGCATGCATACTGCACAGTACAGAGGCTTTTTTGAACGCAGATATGTAGTTCTTCGTCTTCTTCGAAATGTCTTCCAAATGCGTGGTGCTGGTGTTGTTCTCAGCTTCGTCAAGGCAGAATGCAGCTGCATGTGATGCTCCTGTGTGTTCATGCATGTTCTCTTTTCGCGTCTCGACATTGTAGCGTCCAGACTCAGCTCGACTGGAGAAGATTGAGGAGACTATGCTTTGATCCACATGGAAAATTGATGAAATTTGGTAATTATCGTCGGGTGCTAAAAAGCGCTGGGGAGCATGGGGCTAAAACTTCGTAGCAGTCATCCCTACCATGACAGGCATCGACTGGTATATGTTCCATTCTGTTCCCAACCACTACGGGTCGTCTGCGAAGCTTTCTTCTTCGCCGATTCTCGGACAGATCGTACGTCTTCGCACTGTATCTCTCGTCTCCCTCAACGGATCAAAACACGGTTTTCGCCAGGACGAACACAAACCCCCAGATTTCGCGGCGGCAACATCTTCGAGTAGGGAAAAGCTAGCAGCTAACCAGGAATCACCAACAAACAGGTGTAATACTCAGTGTGATTTGCGACAGCTGTCATTGTGCCGTCGCACCATGCATGTACCATGCACGGGAATGGAACCCGGATGAGTCGTTTTATTACGACAGCCTGCACTGGCTACTGTTGAGCTGAGCCATGGCATGAGTAATGTTTGTTGAGCTGAGCCATGGCATGAGTAATGTATCTTGAGCTGAGCCATGGCAAGACCACAGTCAACAACTAACCTCGTATTTTTCCAGTAGGTCGACGGGGATTTCTGAACGAATTCGCAAGAACTCTTGTTGATTTGACTGACCACGCTGAGGATTTGGACACACAGAGATGCAAACGACGCACGTGGACACACACACACACACACACACATGCACACACGCACACACACACACACACACACAGATGTACTTGTACTTGCTCACTGCCAAAACTGGTCATGTGGGTCTCCCCGGGAGAGGGAGAGAAGTTCAAAAGGAATCGTGGAAAGATAACTCAATTGGCTATGGAACGGCCCAACGTCCGACACCCTCTGAGATCACCAAACTCGGGGTGGACTTGGAAATGATCCCGCTTATGGACTCTCCACCCCTCAGTAAGTGGGTGAGGACAAGGTGCAGAAAAAGAATTGACGGCATCAGGGAATTCGTCCCGGGATCCAACTGCACCTATCCCTGCCCCCAGTGAAGGTAATACTTGCTACTAGTGTGGGTGGCTAAATCAGAGTGGATCTGATCATATAAGCTCCACTAGCACCACTGATTACACAAGAGTTAATGTCACCAGAAGTAATCCATGATTAACGGGTACTCCCTGGCTGTCGTGGAGGCTAAGGTGTCCCGTTGAGCCTTGGCCCGTGTTTGTGCAGACTATGCTATGCTTCTCTTGCTCTCTGATCACGTGTGACTTGTTTTCCAATCCTCCGCCATGGCAAATTGTGACTTGTTTTCCAATCCTCCGCCATGGCAAATTGTGACTTGTTTTCCAATCCTCCGCCATGGCAAATTGTGACTTGTTTTCCAATCCTCCGCCATGGCAAATTGTGACTTGTTTTCCAATCCTCCGCCATGGCAAATTGTGACTTGTTTTCCAATCCTCCGCCATGGCAAATTGTGTTTTGTTTTCCAATCCTCCGCCATGGCAAATTGTGACTTGTTTTCCAATCCTCCGCCATGGCAAATTGTGACTTGTTTTCCAATCCTCCGCCATGGCAAATTGTGTTTTGTTTTCCAATCCTCCGCCATGGCAAATTGTGACTTGTTTTCCAATCCTCCGCCATGGCAAATTGTGACTTGTTTTCCAATCCTCCGCCATGGCAAATTGTGACTTGTTTTCCAATCCTCCGCCATGGCAAATTGTGTTTTGTTTGCCCGTAAAAGAGGCTTTTGTACCACCAAAAAAAAAGAGAAAAAAGAGAAGAAAAAAAGAAGATTAACGGGTATGTATACCGTAGTGTCGCGTATAAAAGCATGGCCTGTATAGAAGCAGGACTCGAATAGAAGCCGATTTTCATTTTCAAAGGGTGCCGTGACACAGAAGCATTATTTCAATAGAAGCCGCTCTGCGCAAAGACACATGGAAGTACTTGCACTGTACTTCGAAGTACATACGTGGCAGTATGCACTGTACAGTGTATACTGCTGATCTTGATGTGGAAGCATGTTTTGAATAGAAGCATGGTTTGAATAGAAGCATGGTTTGAATAGAAGCATGGTTTGAACCCTGGCTTATACGGTGATAAGCACCTGCTTTTATACGCGACATTATGGTACTTCAAATAGAAAAAAATCACATACAAAACAAAACCAAAATGGACCCCTCCCCCATGAAACACACACACACACACGCCCAACACTCATGACCACGCACACACACACACACACACATACACCTTGGTAACACTGCCATCAAATGGTCACGTGTCCCCTGTGCAGGGGTCGACAGCACTGAGTTCAGCATTGGACCCAGAAACGCCGCTCTACTTCCTGGACAGGAAATTAGCACAGCTATGCAGGTCGAAACCACGGGATGACTTGCAGCAGCGACCGCAGCCGAGACAATGCGCTCTGCAGCAGGGCAGGGCAACCCGCTGTTTCCGGACCGAGTCTGCCGATGCCACAGAAGAGACCGACGCCACTTCAGCAGCCGAGTTGGAGAGACACTTATGCGAAGCTAGCCCGCCAGCACTCAAGAACCATCTCCCGCACGCATTACATAGTCGGCTGCCGGACTGCTCAGATATGGGCTTCCTCCTCTCGGCCAGGCACTTGTGGCGATTCTTGTATTTCTGGTGGGCGAAAGTACGCTGGCAAACATCGCAGAGCACAGAAGTGTCACGCTGAGCCGATCGCGGTACTGGTTGAGCGGAATACGCACTGCGCCATTTCCCACGCTCCTGGGCGAGGTCGTACCATTCCGTGTGGTCGATGTTCACTGCGGAGAGGTCAGCTCTGACAGAGTCTCGCCACCGTTTCCGAGGACCGCAAGCCGGCCTCGGCGGAAGGAGCGCACCAAACAGGAGCTGGCGCGGAGTTCTATCGCCGTCCATCCTAGCTAGATGGCCTAGCCACTCCAGACGGCGGCGAAGAACACGTGTGGTAATATCCACTGGATCTCGACGATTCCAGGCCTCCAGAATGCACACACACACACGCACACACACACACATGCACACACACACACACACACACATGCACACACACACACACACACGCACCTCACCTCACCTCAGACCTGCCCATCGCGGAAGCGATGATAGCGAACAGCTATGTTAGACATAGCAACTTGTGCTGGGATTACACCATTCAACAGCTTGCAAGGCTGATGAATTGACCGCCACTATTTTTAGCCTGGTATCCACCACACAGCTGTTTGAAGTGACTTTTTCTGGCCAGTGAATCCCTATTTTTTCATTTTTCCATTTTTTCTTTTTTCTTTTTTCTTTTTTTTCTACACACACACACCACACCACATACTCCGGCATACACTGGCTGTTGGTAACCACCCAGGAGAAGGAAAGAAAAGTCAGGAAGAGACCGAGAAAGAGAAGAAAGACGTGTGCGACCATAATCGTCGGGAATTGAACCCGCAACCTCTCGATTGGAAATCGACTGCACATACCACTGCACCATATGGGACACACACACACGCACACACACACGCACACACACACACACACACACACACACACACACACACACACACACACGTACGCTACACTAAGCAGCTCACATTTATCGTGTGCGACGCACTGATCATCTCCGGCCGCATTCTGGCGTAATCACCACGTCGGTGGAAGTCACGCAAGTTCTTTGCATGTTTTTCCAGCTGCTCAATCAACTGCGGAAAGGTGCTGATGAATCGCTGGAGCTTGCTCTCAAGAAAATGTCGCGGTACTTGCCCTCGTGGAGGACTGGCATCTGCAAGAAATAGATTTGTGTACGTGTGTGTGTGTGCAAGCACGGACATCAGTTCATCACCATCCTAACCTCACTAATGGGTATGTTCTTACACAGCCAACTGTGGCTGAAGAAATCCCTCACACTAGTCTATAGCTAACAAAACATTGCACAAGACGTACAGTAACTGGTGTACAACATCACTCAGGACCAACAGCAGCATCACACATGTACATCCAATGTACAGCTGCGGTCGGAGAAATCCGACCCAGAGTGCATATCCAGCGCCCTCAACTAACTTGCACGGCCCTTGACGCCCTGGAAGCACAAATGCAGCTGTACGCACACGTAGCTTACAAATACGACGATGTAATCGGGACTGGTCCAGGGCGCCAGCTTTGCACTTTGGGTCGGATTTCACCGAGCACAACTGTACTTTGTGGACTGCTGGTCTGTTCAATAGTGTACTCGTGTACGCACCGGTGCCGTCCCCAATGTACATACTGGTATGCCATATGGGGGAGATTTGAATTCGTTAACAGTCTTAACACCATTGCACATGTACTAACACACATACTCAAGTACTAAGGTCCAGACCATGGGTGTCAATTTGGGCCCGGGTGCTATTTCGGATAAATAAAATCAGACTTATTTTCCCATCATGCCATACTACAACATGCACATAGACAGTTAGCACAGTGCACTGTACACTATAGTTATACTAGAGTACAGTACATGCACCTGCAGCTGTGCATGCACTGCAATGTGTACTGGGCCTGTGCTTTCGCCCATGGGCGTTCACACGGAGGTGAGCTGGAAAATGGGACAAGGGTGTTGACACTGGGCACCTGGGTTTGGACACGGGTGGTGGGCGTTGATACGGGTGGTGGGCGTTAATACGGGCTTTTGCGCTGTACATCTACATCCTTCAATGTGGTGAACGCCTTTGATAGTACACTAGCCTTGGGGTTATCCTAATGAAGATTTTTCCCGTAGCGCTATCCCGTATCTGTCCCGTTCCGTACCGTACCATCAAACACAGCTGGCCACATACAGCTGGCCGCAATATTCAAATAGGGCTTCCAAACGCAAGATCATAACGTGAAGCAACTTGGAAGAATGCGTATGAATGTGGAGTGTATGGGGAAATGCATGTAGGGCGATCGTGCGGGTTCGAATCCCAGGTTATGCCTAAAAAAATATAAATAAAAAAAAATTTCACGGTTCGCGTGAGACTCGGCTGGAAGCCGAGTTTTCCGCATCCGCCGTGGGAACGCCACCACCCTCTAGGATCAAAGTGAGACTCGGCTGGAAGCCGAGTTTTCCGCATCCGCCGTGGGAACGCCACCACCCTCTAGGATCAAAGGCGCAGATGCAGCGCCTAAACGGTGGGAGGTGAGTAGATCAGACCCACCACCAAGTGGTCAAAGACCGAAATCCCATTAGCTGCATCCATGTTACCCTCGTGCCAGGCCACGAGTTCCCAATTAACTGTGGGTCGCAGCACGGCTGGAAAAATATAAAAAAATATGGAATTGAAAAATTTATAACATCCCTATGCTTTTTTTGCCTAGGTCATCAAGGCGGTAGACGGTGTCGTATTACCCTCGACCGTACCTGTCCCGTACCGTACCATCAAAGACGGCTGGCCACAATGCATATTCAAATAGGGCTATCAAATGCAAGATCATAACGTGAAGCAACTTGGAAGAATTAGTATTTATGCGAAGTGTATCGGGGGATGCATGCAGGGCGATAGTGCGGGTTCGAATCCCAGGTTAATTATGTCTTTTAAAAAAAGGAGAAATTTCTAAGAATTGATAACATCCCTATGCTTTTTTTGTCTAGGTCATCAAGGCAAAAAAGCATAGCATAGGGCCCTGAGCTTCCAAGCTCTCTCGTATAAGGGGCCATCCGTATAGGTAAAAAAAGTAAAGTTAGCCGGATTCGAGGCTGCATCACCTGACGTGTTTAGGAGTATCAATATCAATTATTATATCATGAAACGAATTAATTTCGTTTCAACCAGGGAGTCGTAAAATACCGGGAGGCGACACGCCACACATTTCACGATCCGAGGATTGCCGCACTCGACCCGCGAAATTTGAAGCGTGATTGAAACGTCGTCGTCATCTTCTTTTTCTCAATTGTTTTTGCTATATGCTTCGAGGCTATTCTGGATCTCCAGAGCGAAAGCTGGTTGTTTCTGATACGTACCACGCATTACCTTAGGTTGAGCCGTGGCTTTTAATTTTTTTTTGGAAGTTCACTGCTTTGGAGACGACGGAATGTCAAGGTAAGTTATTCACGAAATGTACTCAAATTTGAATTGAGTCAATGCGAATGACACCCTGTTTTCGGAATAGTTCTCCACTAAACACACCATGCCCATGGCCCCTTCATGTTGTCCAAGTTCCATTCTAGGTTTGTGTGAAGTTTCGAGATGAAGTTCGACGATGTACTCACCTTTCCATGGAAGGGAAAAAAAGTAGCATATCAAACAGAATCCATGCAGTATTTGATGCCACTATCCTCATTCTTCTGCATTCAAAGTGTTTCACATCTATATGGCCCATGAACTGCAAACAATATTAGTCATTTCTTAACTGTTCATAGCTGTTCATAACTGTTCTGAACACATTGCCTTCAGGAAACGTAAGGCCGAGTCGCCTCACCGACTGAGCAAAGTTCTCTGAGACGAAAGTCACACTATCGGCGAATGCACTCAAGGTGAATACCCGTCAATATCCTGTATACTGCTTGTACCGCTTATCACAGTAGCATACACACAAGCACACATACACACACACACACACACACACACACACCACACACACACACACACATGCATGCTCGTGCACACACAAGCGCAAAATTCACATATCACTGGTTCAGTTGTTTTTATCTGTGTCGTATTTTGTCTTATACAGAGCTTCCGAGCCACGCCGAGTCACCTGACCAACTGAAGAAGGTTCTGTGCGACGAAAGTCACACTATCGGCGAATGCACTCAAGGTGAATACCCTGTGGACTGCTTATACCACTTATCACAGAAGCACACACACACACACGCACACACACACACACACACACACACACACACACACACACACACACACACACACACACACAAGCGCAAAATTCACATATCACTGGTTCAGTTGTTTTTATCTGTGACGTATGGTGTCTTATACAGAGCTTCCGAGCCACGCCGGGCCACCTGAATTCTCCAAACAAGGCTGAAGGCTTGTCACGGCATCCTTGCCAAATAAAGGTATAAGCTGCAGCAAGTTGTCGTTGCGACACCTTGCTCCTTCCAGCTCACGCCGCACGGCCACCAAGCACCAACCACCATGGTACTTTTCAGCAAGGTGAGACAAATTGTCAATCACCGGTTCGGGGATGGCTTCAGCAGCTTTGGATGGTGCTATTGACGCTTTCCTGATAGCAGCGGCAGCCGTGGCATGCAGGTAGCTTATCAGATTCGCTAGCACAGCAGATGTAACTTCCAAATCTGAAGAAGAGAAAAGAAAAAGACAACATATAAGGACTGGTGGTTGCAGAGACTGTACTAGTATTCAAAAGCCAGCGTTTGCATACCTAGTCTGCATACCTAGTCAGAAGCCAATTTTTTTCCAACATGCATGCAAAACGCACTGACCTTCACAATTGATTTTCACTTCGGGAATAGCTGTTGCGATGACGGACAGCATTTGTTGCCATGCTTGCGAAATATCAGCACCCTTGCATGCCTTCAGCTGGCACACTTCCTGGCGTAGCAGATTTGCAGTACCTGATGCCTTGTGTAACCGTGTCATAATAACATGCAGGAATGACTCCGTCGCCTCAGTAACACTCGCCTGTCTCATTGTCAGCAGTTTGCAAATTCCATGGATCACTGCACCTTCCATAGGCCTGTACACCATGATGGCACTACCACTCTTACATCGATCTGCACATAGACAAAGTATGGTTTGAGGATGGAGGTTTACATCATCTACGGTGATGATACATACTAGGTACACACGTAAATTTTCAGGACTTCAATAAATATCCTGTCACAGTGAACAGACAATGCATCGTGGGCAGACTAGGATGAAAAGGATGGTGTCGACCACCTAATTTATCGGGTCAGTTCGGGCACTTAGGTATGCTACAGATTATACATTCGTGTCCACAAGGAAGAGACAAAAACATGCAAACGAAAGAATCTCACCTGTAGCCCACAGCTGAACATCCCCACAACTCAGGTCACCAAGTGAATACGTGGCGTCATCTACATCTTCCACGGTGGACTCATCACTTTGGCAGTCATCTCTGTCAAGCTCCATCATCCTTTACTTCGAAGGCCAAGGCACAAAGTATTATTACTTAGAAAACAAAACGAACTGCTGACACTGGATTCGTTGTGTGCAGGATAATTTTATTGAGTTTTCAAAATTTTTGGACCAAACAGCGAACGCGTCCTTTGGCATGACCTGCGCCGCTTTGACCTCATGGGAAGTCCCTCGCCATGCAGCGCGTGAGGTCTCAGCACTCGTGCCCGAGCTGAGGCAATCATCCGACGCGGTTGTGCATCTCGTGTCGCCTCCCGGTATTTTACGACTCCCTGGTTTCAACCCAACCCAACCCCAACCTACCTCCCCCTAAGAATGAAAAAAAATGTTGACGCATACTTGTACATGTACATGCATATACAGTTGTGGCAAGTGAAATCCGACACTCGCCATAGGGGACAGCGCCTCAAATGGACATCAATGATGTAATGCACTGCACCTAATTTGTACTATAGAGCCGTATGCATCCCAAACAGGTCGAAAGGTCACAGCTTAGATACACACAGTTCACAAACATGGTACACATAAGGAGTATTGGTATCCAATTCCCATTCATTTTTGCCAGCACCTTTTGAACCTTGACTGTGATGAGTACGAATTCTGTCATCAGACAGATAAAGTTGTATGCAGCACATTTACTGTACGTATACAGGGCTGCAGAGGCTGCAGGATGCACGGTGCAGTCCCTTATGCCAAGTGTCGGATTTCACTTGCCACAACTGTACAACAAAAGTTGAAAGTGTGTCACTGCTCCAAATTCCATGTACATGTATCGATGTTTTCTGAAAGGAAATGATCAGTCAACCCCTTCCCACCCCATCACGAAAATATTTCATTTCGTGAAAAAATGTAGAAAAGAAAAGGTTTCTGACTGTATAATCCAGTTACAGTGATGGAGAGTTACTCTTAACTCGTATCCATTATGTCCTTTTCTTTTCTACATTCGTGAAAAAAGTTCGATATTTAATATGGAGGACCCCTAAGGGATGTCCATAAATATCGAACTTTTTTCACAAAACGAAATAATTTCGTTATGGGGTGGGAGGGGGTTGACCAATTTCGTTTCAGAAAACATTGATACATGTACATGGCCGTTGTATATGCATGTATGTCAACATTTTTTACGTTCTGAGGGGGAGGGAGGGAGGGGTTGGGTCTAAACTAAAATAATTCGTTTGGTGAAAAAAGTTCAATATTTACGGACGGCCCCTAAGACTGAAAAGAGTGTCACACCACCCCTTGACACCTTGATGCCCTACCTCAGTACCTGGAGCCCTACCATGATGTATGATGGCCATGAACAGTATCAATTGTTTATTTTTGACAAAATTTTAGGGCATAGCTAAGCTGCATGCTACTTTTACCAGCTTTTTCCTACAGCAACCAACATAACGAGAGAGATTGGAAGCCCAGGGCCCTACGCTATGCTTTTTTGCCAAGCTAGCTCATCATGCATGTTATTAGAACTGATGGAAATGTTTTTTTTTCCATTGATTGGCTACATCAAACTTTCTCTTTGTATTCGAGGGTAATATGACACCGTCTACCATCTTGATGACCTTGGCAAAAAAAGAATAGGGATGTTATAAATTTTTCATTTCTGCTATTTTTTCTCAAGACATAACCTGGGATTCAAACCCGCACTATCGCCCTGCATGCATCCCCCGATACACTTCGCATACATACTCATTCTTCCAAGTTGCTTCACGTTATGATCTTGCATTTTAAAGCCCTATTCGGATACTGCGGCCAGCTGTTTGTGGCCAGCTGTCTTTGATGGTACGGTACGGTACAGTACGGGACAGGTACGGGATAGCGCCAGGCATGCCGATGGCATAAACAAACAAACAAACAAACAAACACCGAATTAAAGCTGTGTGGACCCTGGCTAGCGCCAGACGTTACTGAAGTAACGTCTCTTGCATAGCTACGGGAACTATTATTATGATTACACTTTTCCACCAACAAAGGGCAGAAGAGAACAGAGACAACCGGCTAGGTCATTGTTGTAACGCTGCGTTTCATGCACATAGCAAAGCTAAGGCAATCCTCAGACAACTGAGAAGCGCAGCGTTACAATAGCCGGTTGTCTCTGTTCTCTTCTGCCTTTTGCGGTATTGCTCCATCCTTGTGGTGTTGAGCACTCTAGGCAATCTGGGAATTCTCGCTGTTGTGTGCTTTTCAACCAATGACAATGTACTTCACACAACTCACAAAATAATACCTCCCACGCGTACGCTCGTCTTATCTACCGTATTTGCCCTGATTATATGCAGCACCTTTTATTTTTTCAGGTGGGTCGTATCATTTCAATGTACAGGTCGTCCCCCGTTACTACGAGTCCGGTTAGTACATAAACCCCGTTAGTACATAAGAAATCTCAAGTCCCGGACGAAACGTGGTCACTACTTATGTACTACTGTCGGTTAGTACATAATTCGTTAGTACATAATTCGTTAGTACATAATTCGTTAGTACATAACATTTCTCCGTACCCGCATGCCGCCTACCTCAATAGTACATAATTTGTTGGTCTTTTGGCCTTCGAGCGGAGGCACATCGTGTTATAGTTTCTACTTGTGGGGCTCAGAAATCACAGCGCACATCACAAACCGACAAAGCTCTGTTTTTTTTCGAGTGACTGTACAGGCGCGGTTGGGCATGTATCACGTAAACTGTAGAATCTTTGCTGACTGTGACCCTTATAACATAATTTTTATGTTATATCGAGGGAATCAAAAATATCTCACTCCCCAGTCATGGCAGCAAGAAACACTCAGAAAAGTGGGAAAAAGTGAAAAATTCTGGTACACAAGCAAGTTATGTACACTTTCGTTTAGTACAGTAGACTCGTACGCCCAAGAACGTCCAGGCTGGAAATCTAAGAACGCCCCAGCCTGGATTTAAGAACGAACTCCAAGATTTTTAAGAATGCGACATTTTTGGTATTGCACGTTTCTGTATCAGAATGGTAATGGGAGCTAATAACTAGTAGTAGTAGTAGTAGTAGTAGTAGCAGTAGCAGTAGCAGCAGCAGCAGCAGCAGGAGCAGGAGCAGTAGCAGTAGCAGTAGCAGTAGCAGTAGCAGTAGCAGTAGCAGTAGAATTTATTATTTTGATAGGGAAGGCCCTACAGACGTTGCCGTCTACAATGCAATCTTCTGAAAAGGAGAGAGAGTAAGAGACGTGATATTTGAGCGCCGGTTTGTTTTGCAAGCGGATTGCACCTTCATGATCTTGTCCGAGTACACGAAAAACAAGTCCGCAACCACAAACTCTTGTCGGGTCCTCGCGAAATCACCCAGTCCAGCTCTACATACTATACGTGCATGTAAAGTGTACAACCGGTACAACCGGTACATGTAGCGCAAAGTGCATTGTACATGAGTGTCACGGGTCATGTTGGACGCGCAAGAACGCGAAATAAGAACGTAGCCTGGGGCGCTGAAAAATAAGAACTTTGCTAGGCTGGCCCTCTGAAACCGCGTTCTTGGACGTACGAGTCTACTGTACATAAACCCCGTTAATACATAACATTTCTCAAGTCCCAGAGATTATGTATTAACGAGGGACGACCTGTATTCATAACACACTAAAATACTTCAGTAGGACGTTGGACTCGACTGTAAGTCGCACCCCTAGCTTTGGCCTTTGAGTTCAGCGTGAGGAGGTGCAGCATGTATAAATCGAGGAATACTAGTACGGTAGTCCTTGAAAACCCTAGACCCAGCCAAGAGTCTTGCTGCACTGGGACAGAGCAGTGATGTTCGGCACGCCACACAGAACACATCTGACAAGAATAAAATAGTTACCTGCAACGGGTTGGCGTTCATTCGGATCAAAACTTGCCATGTTGGCTCAATCAGCATCAGATATCCCAAGGTAAGCAGCAGACGGTTTAGAACAGTTACTACAGTCCTGTGGCTAATTCAAATAACAGGAAAGCGTCGTGAATTCAAAGAACATTTCCCTCCTAGACAGAACAAGGCCAACAGTTTACAGTCTCCCTTTTGTCAAGTTTTGAAGTTTTGATCTCCCACTCCTACTCCTTCACATCACTCATCTGCAGCAGTGATCAGTGCAGTCGACGTCACTCATAACTTTAGTCATCGATCCAGTCATCACTCATAGTTCATGTTTTTTTTTGTTTTTTTTTTTTTGTACGCATGACATCTTCAATAATTATTATTATGATCATGACGTGCGGCAAGATGAAGTGAACAGTTGGCATGACGACAGTGATGACTCCCTGGGCCCTGACCAAGACAAGATCCAAGCTTGCAAGAGAGATACTAGGGAGGTTCCGGAGTACGATTTTTCGTGCCAAAATCCGTGGAGGCTCTACGGATTTTTTATACGTCGTTTTCGAGCAGTGAAAAGTTCCGGGGTACGGAACTTATGTGTTTGCCGTCATTGCCTAGGTTACGATCGCAAACACGTCACATTCCCGCGCTATGCCTTTTTATTTTGAAAATTTGTACCGAAATCAAAGTTTCTCGTACCAAATTTGTACGCGAAAAATCTTTCTGCACCCGATGACGCAAAATCTCCATACGAAGCATGGTTCGTATGAAAGCCAGTCCACACGGATTCTCGTGCCGAAAAATCGTATGGAGCACGCCTGGAAAAAATCCGTAGCGCCCATACGGATTTTGGCACGGAAAATCGTACCCCGGAACCTCTCTACTACCTAACTGTACGAGTCCGTACTACTACAAAAGGCGAGAGGTTCCGCACTACGTAAAGTAAGTTGAGCAACTTTACGTTAGTGGGCGGGAAAAACCCGTGAATTCGCGAGTTTGGAGCTACCTGGACGTCCGGGTCTTCAACCCGCACGCTCCATCAAATCGCTCATCATCTGCGAGGTATATTATGTATCAGATTGCAACGACCAGGAGGCTCTTAGGGCCCGGTCACACATGCACTCGAAAGTAGCGTATACGCTGAAGCGAGGTCGCAGGAGCGAAAAATGGCATGGCAACGGCGAAAAGCGGAACTTCCGCTTCAGCGGAAACTCCAATCCGCTTCCTCCAAAATTTTCGAAGCGAGACTGTCGCTTCTTTCTGCGGATTCGCTTCAGCGGAAAATACCACGCGGTCTGCTGTATATGGACTTGCTACGAGAAATTTGTATGCGTATGATGTCCATGCAACAAAAATGCGTGCAAGATAGTCGTTGACCTCGTCTATTCTCCGTACCGTATGCACCACAGTCTCATTTTCCGCCAAAGTAGGAGTTGTGCCCTGTTTGTATGTGTGTCGTTGTGTGACCACACACACGTGGTTTCGCTGGAGCGACACCAGGCTCGCTGCCGCCGAACCTCGTCGCTGAAGCGAATCCCAGTGCATGTGTGACCGGGCCCTTAGTAGTGGCTGCAAATGACCGATATCCGTCACTTGCAGCTCTGCATCAGAGAGCTGTAGCTGGCCTGAAGAGTTGTAAAATTACTCCTTCGTAGCCGGGCGAGTCAGAGCGAGGGCGATTCACGGCTTGGTCAAAAAACTGTCGGCCTGGAACGTAAACGTCGATCTGCCGACACAGTTCACCTGGTTCACACGCCTGACCTGGCATGCTGCCTTGCGTGAAAGGAACATTTTTCGGAAAGCAAGCTTCTTCTCCAAAATTCGAAATTTCCTTCCAAAAATGCCGTCGTCCTTGACCTCGAAGCTGAATGTTGTTAGGATAGAAAATTAGCGAAGATGTAGCCGACCCATTCTGGCAAGTCGTGTGCCCTCTGGATATGCAGTTCTTCGCCATGGTCAACAATCTTCTTCTCCTTCGTTCGTACTTTCACTTTCCTGACCACGAATACAAGCGGTACCCATGCTCAGGTTAGTGTTTATTTGTCTGTCTATGCACATACATGTAATACAATGTACTGTTCGTGCTTCAGGCACTTGCCGATCATGGAAATAGAGGCAGCAGCCAGCTTTCTTTGAATTCTCATCCTTTCAACAAAAATAATAATGTACACACTTTCCTTGGCTCCTTTTTCCCACCGCCACCATGCATGCACTTCTTTTCAAATTCGTGTTTGCTTTGACAGTGGTTTCATGGGTATCCTTCAGCCTTTCCTGGCATTCAAAATTCAGAATAGTTTCCACCCAGGTGCTAGTGCCTCTGTTCTGCTTAGCACATTGTAGTAAAATTATTTGCAACTGCCCACCACTGCACTCTTGGCTCACATTCACCACACCATAGCGAGGAAGTAACTAGTTTGTTCTTGGATAGATGTCTGGAGGGTGTAGAGCATCTATCCAAGAACGAACTTCCTCGCTATGGTGTGGTAAATGTGGGCCAAGAGCAGTGAGGAGAGGTGGACAGTTTCAAATTATTTAGCCACATCCGATCCTTTCTCCGATAATTATGGACATGTTTTACTATACCGGTATATTGAATGGCCACTCATGCTTCTATTGAGAGGTAACACCACTCAGAAAACTGAGGAAAGCCAACCGGTGTTGCACAGGATTTGAGGTTGGGAAGAAAAGATGTTCCGATAAAAGAACTGCGAGTACATGGGAAACGTATTATGGAAAGGGCAGTCCGAGTCGAACTAGGATCTCCTGTTCCAGACTGTACCGAAAGGGTGAATATGAATACCGTTAAGTCGCGGATAAAAGCCGGGTTTGCATACAAGCACATCGCAGATAGAAGCCTGAAAATCAAACGGGTCAAATGCATATAAGCCTGTCGCGCGTAGAAGCCTGGCTTCTATGCAAGCGCAGATCGGGTGGGTCAAGAGTGCATGCGCTATGTCGGTGCATAGTAAAACTGCCGCCATACCGGTAGTCAGTGGTAGATCTACGCGTGCCGCGCGTAGAAGCCTGGCATACAAGTCTGGCAAAAATATCAGTAGTGCACATAAGCATGGTTTGCATACAAGCCTGGTTTGCATTAAAGCCTGATGCAGAAAGCGGCTTATGTGCTTATAAGCCCGGCTTTTATCTGCGACTTTACGGTACAGAATGCCGATAATCCGAACAATCACTTATTCGAAATGCCAGTTTCCATTGAATTGAAGGGACGAAAATGAGCTACTGCTCATTTTCCCCAACCCCAAGCACCATTCAAGCGGTGCACAAGATAGTTTGCAACAGGTTGGAGCAACAATGTATCACCGTGGAGTCATATTGAGGAGCTAGAGTGTGTCTAGTTCCTGTGAAGAGAATGTGAGAAATGATGGAAACGTGAAGGTATGTGCAAGTCTTAGATGGATGTGTGACTGCTCCCTTATCCGAATTTTTCCCCATCCGAACCCCCTGGAGAAAGCGTGCGCCCGAGGGGTGCGGATAATCTACATTCTGCTGTAACAGTTATGTACAATGCGTGCCGATGCACATTGGACAACGTTGCAAATGTAGAATTGTAGGTGGACTGAACCCCCTGGAGAAAGCGTGCGCCCGAGGGGTGCGGATAATCTACATTCTGCTGTAACAGTTATGTACAATGCGTGCCGATTCATATTGGACAACGTTGCAAATGTAGAATTGTAGGTGGACTGTGGTTCACATTAGACGATCGGAGTACCCCCACCAAACGAAGAGAGCTCAACATCACAAGGTAGAGCTTGCATGTACAATCGAAAAAGAGTACATAATATTCCATCAGCTGATGTTGTTAGTGTGCGTTATGAAGTCTGAAGAAAATGTTGAACGATCTCGGCTGGGATGACGGCTTCACCTTAGCTCAGTGATTAGAGCATCGCTGGCCTCAAGCGAAGGTCCTTGGTTCGAGTCCTGGTGGTGACAGTCAATTTTTTCTTCAGACCTTTCTCGTTTGTGCCTTTCCGTCTAACCAGTGAATATTACTGTTAGCTTCGTACTTTGAGTGATTATCACTTACAGTTACATATACTTGATAATTTCTTAGCGCATGAAAATCGGAGTCAGTACCACAATATTCCTCCCTCACTATAATGAGTCTAGATACTTTGAATGTGGAACAGGGTCCAGGACAGGATCGTCTGCTCTATCCAAATTATGGCCTGGTTGCAATTTGTCTATTTACCAGCGGGTACATACCAGGGAGTCAAAGCACCTACACTGTAGGGAGACTACACAATACTTTATAGAATTTTGGGTCAGGATTTGGAGGTTCTCCGTGATCTGTGCAACCCGCGATCACGGCCTTGACCTACTGACCCTGAGAACGGCCCAGATTAGCAATGCCATGTACGAGCGTGTATAGATCTGCCCAATGGTGCCCCAGGGGTGGCTGAAACAGGAACCCCTGGGTCGAACCCCATGTCATTTAGCTTTACAGTCGCCTGTGCCGTCTACCTAGATGCTCCAACTCCCTGCGTTGCACCCAGTAAATGCAGCACATCAAGTATACAGCCATGTAGTGTTGGTTGTCACCTGTTCTGATCGTGTGATATCACAAACAATCTTCTACGGTCCATTCACTCAAACCTGGCACGTTAGGGGCCGTCCATAATTATCTATCTTTAACACGAAACACGAAAAAAATCGTTCATGGGCAGGTGGGTCAAGAAGGGTTTCGTAATGAAAAATATTGATAGCTGAAACACTAGTCCATTCCAGCTATTTTTCGTTGAGGGGTGAGTAGGTGGGGGTGGGGGACGGTCACAAGTTACTCATCACTAAACTTTTCATTTCGTGAAAATTATCGATAATGCCGGGTCCATAATTGTCGATCTTTTACACGAAGAGAAAAAGTTTCGTTGGTGGGTGGGTCAAGGGGAGTTTCATTTCGAAAAAATATTTATATTACAGACATCAATCGAGGGGGGGGGGGGGTTGGGGGGTGGAGGCGGGTCCTTCTTTCATTTCGTGAAAATTATCGATAATGCTGGATAGCTCCTTTAGTCTATGCAATAAAATAGTTGTTTTCTTCACACAGTACCGTAAAGTTTAAACAATTTCCGACCAGGTTTGTACCGAACATTTTTTTCGAAAGGTAATTTCTCCAATGGTGCCTTGAGTACGTTCTCAGCAACATAGCGGACCAGTTTCAAATAATTGGACTGCAAACTTGCATCGC